GACGTCCAGTCGGTACGCCTGGGGCGACTTACGCCGTGAAATAAAAAAAATTCCTAGCCCAATTGATCTTAGATGTCCTTCTCTGGAGCTGAATTGGGTCGTTGTTCTGTCTGCCTCACTTCCTTCTTGACTTCGGAAATCCAGCCTGGGAATTACGATCGACTTATTGTTTGCGATCTTGTCGGATCAGATGCGAGAGAGCCGAGAATTAGGATGCTAGCCGACCCGACCCGACCCTTCAATTTTGACGGAATTCTTAGCGACTAGCACTATTTTCGTATGACTATAATATAATATAATATAATATAATATAATATAATATAATATAATATAATATAATATAATATAATATAATATAATATAATATAATATAATATAATATAATATAATATAATATAATATAATATAATATAATATAATATAATATAATATAATATAATATAATATAATATAATATAATATAATATAATATTATATATATATATATATATATATATTATTTGTCGCCTAATTGTCGCCTAGGCGCTCGCCTAGGCGTCATGGCGATACATTGGCGCCGCGCCTCGCCTTGGCGCCGTGATAACTATGGGCAATACCCATATGCTTAAGTTGTAAAAGGCCTCTATATTTCACCGTTTACATAGTGAGGCATTAAATTCTTATCTCATTTCACTCAACTCGCTCAAATTATACCTTACACAAATGTTATGCCCCTACACACACCTAAAATTCCATAACTTCAAATATCACTTGCACATAACCCAAGCCCGTGCGAAGCACGGGGTTAAAAACTAGTTACTCCGTATATACGGAGTATTTAACTTCTCAGCCTTCATTACCCCCTCTCCTCCTCAAACCAAACACACCTAACAGCAGGAGCAGCATCAATTGGGTGATGCATGGGAATCTTCAATAGCATATCTATGAAGTGCATCACTTTGGTGTTTTTGATCTGAAAACTTTTTTGTTTTATCCATTATTAAGTTACCTGTTGACTTAATTTTTTGACTTTTAGCAATTGTTCCGAATTCTTTTGCGGTTTGTGACAATTAAAAATCAACCAATGAAGGCTTACAATTCGGAAGCTAAAAAAGAGCTTCTCGACAACATCCTTACCAAGGCGAATCTCATTTTTTGCCTCTTAAAATGTGTTTGAATTGTTGAAAAAATAGTTTTAAAAAATCAAGCAAAAAATCTGATTTCTCTTGCTCTAGAGTAGCATTTGAGCGCAAAAGTGGATACAATATAGATTTAATCTCTAACTGAATTTTAGTTTGGAGCTTAAATTTTTTTGTAAAGAACTGCCCATTAAGATATTTTTTCACTGCAAATACGTAGTAAATGATAGTCTGAACACAACCAAACTTATTTAATATTTCTTATCAATGATAGTTTTAACACACATCCAATCTTATTATTGTTGGCTCACATTTCAAATGATCTTTCTGCTCAAATGTTTTGATTTCTCATATTGTAGACTAAAATTTTAACAACTGGACCTAAGTGTTATATATGCACAGTGGATTTTTATTCAACTATTGATATAAGGGCTAGCATACCAGGTATGGATTATTGAGTACTTTTAAAATAATATATATGTGTTTGTGTGTGTGTGTGTGTATATGTGTGTGTGTGTGTGTTAAATTTTTTAACACAATATACCAATCCATGCCTTTTATTTAAGTTGCAGATCCTGTAAATTAGTGTCCTGCCTTAGAAATGTCTTGGCAAATGAAGAAATACTTGATGGAGTAAGTGAACCCAGAGAACATTCTTTCATTAGAATGGTATGCTTTAGATATACATGGTCGGTTTTGTGTCTTTATCTTCTTGAGTTGAATTTTTTCTTCTTAATTTTTATTCTATTTTGTTCTTATTTTAAAATGTTGTTTATGGTGATAGCCGTACTAAGGTCTAGAACAAAAACATAAATAGCAATCAGTCTAAGAAGTAGATGAGATACAAACACTCAAAGAGGCCACTGGAGCTAATAACAGAAGAAAACTGAAGACACTTTGTTTCAATGTTAAAATAGACTTCCAGCAACAGTAAGCCGAGCTTCTGCATCTCGACCAAGAACTTCTCCACATCAAAGCATCCTCTTAAGGAGCTGCCCGTACCCATAAAAAAATGAGGTACGTATTTCCAACCCCCTTATATAGACTAAACTAATACAATGCATGTTATTCCTTTTATGGTTTGTGTATTACATGTACTAATTTACTGCCACCATGGCACCATGTACGTTTTAGCTTTGTATAGCTATATATGTTACTCCACAGCCATCTACTGTGGATACATACCCCGAAAAGATTTTGAAAACAAGCATCTTGACTTATTTTAGCAGATTTTACACCTGTTTCAACATAGCAAAATGATTACAAAGTGCACATGTGGACAATTACATGGCAGATAATTTTGATGACTAAGCTACTCCCTGCCACGCTACCACAACACTCCATTTTGATCTGAATTTTTTTTTCTTTCAGCCTAACCTTCTCCCTTCCTGTAACGTCTCACTTTTCAAATGCATTGAGTGTTAGTTTTTGCAGGAGAGTTCAGAGGTCTGTGACTTCATCATCGATGCGGGAATTGGCAAATTGTGCGATCACGACCCACCACTTTGAATCAATATTTCATGCCCCTGCGGAAGAGCTGATCCTGTCCATCATCACTCGCAACCTTCCCGATACCCGCCGCCCTACCGTAGTTTAATTGCCAACAATGCTGCTGTCCGGCCACTGCAATTGATTATGGTATCTAAAAATTCCTAATTCCTTCTCCTTATAATATTTCTCTTGAATTCTAAATTTTAGGATTTTTTGAAATTGTGAGTATTCTTTGGATTTTGGATTATTTAGATGATGTGTTGGTGATTGATTTGCTAGATACTTGAAATATTGATGTTTGATGCATAGCAAATAATAATTTTATGTATTAGAATTATTGTCGGAAATTCTCAAATTGAATATTTAAATTATCCATGTAAAACCCAAAGGAAAAAGGTAGTAATCCAAGTAATAAATTTGAAAATTTAAATATTTCTGCATGTTCTGCAATATCTACTAAATTTTCTTGCTCGAATTCTTAAATCTAAAATTGCCATTCAAAAGCTGCATGCATTTCTCCATTTGTTAATATTCCTAGAACTTTTGTTTCAAAATTTTGACCAATTTGCAGTACTTTGTTTTAGTATTAAATTGTGATAACTAGCAGATTTAGAACATCTTTTACTTGGAACTTGCAAAACGTAGCCACAACTGATGCCAAGTGAAGTTTTTTTAAACACAAGAGAAGGGAGAAACGGGTGTTAGCCTTATCTTCCATTTATAGTCAAAAGCAGTCAGCCAATAAAGCGGATGACTTATCATTCCATTCTATCTTTTTAGATGTTGAACTAATATTTGAATGGTTGGCTTAATAATAATAGTTTTTAGCTAATTTTGTTGTTGGTAATCAAAAAGAGGATGAGATATCATTATGTTTCTTCCCGTAGACCAATCTAGATTCTGTGGCCTTCCAATTGCATCAGTTGAACAAAATATTAGTCTGGCTACCATTTTTAGCCGGCAACAGTTTTCCAGGTTCTTCCATTTTTGTCTAATGTTAGTAGCCATGTCAGGCTGGGGCGTTAGGCATGGGAGCAAATTTCCAGAGGTGAAAATTCAATTGATTTGCGCACTGAGCTGAAAATTTATCTCAAACTAATTAGTTAAGCACATGGTCCCTAATCCCTATATTATATATTTCATCTGTTTAAGGACAACAATGACCTTTAAGAAATGTTATACATACAACTCTTCATATGCCTCACATGTTAGCTTCATAAGCAGTCACCTTTATTACATAGATGCAAGACTAATATTCTTTTCATAATTCTATTACCTATGATAACACATTATTGCTTTTGATCTATTGTTTTTTTATTTGCAAGTTTTTTTAAACCTATCATCTTGGGTATGGGTTTTTATATGTCATGACTGGTTGCAGATTCAACAATTAAGGGTTCACTTGAGTTTGCTATGTGTTATTGTGGGTAAGAAATTATTAGCTTAATTTTTTCTTGATCTGTTATTTGTCTAAATCTTCATAGTCATTTATTGCTGCCTACACCTATCTCAGTAGGTTGCACACCCAAAGACATTCACAACTTTATAGGAGTATGTGATCCACTAAGGCTTTCAACGTCTTGAACAAAAGCGCTAGCTTGAGCACAACACAAGGAGATGAGAGAATACAATGTGAAGATCTCTAGCAGGTTAAGTAGTGCTCAATATAATTTTTATTTTGTGTGAGTGGTATGTAGAAGAATATTACTGTGCTCAGTATCATTTTTATTTTGTGAGTGGTATGTAGATGAAGAATATTACTAAACAAGACTCTTTGCACATACTCCATCAA